TATATGGGATCAGGCATCCAACACTTGCTAACAATATCATGTATAATTCTTTTGTGAATTTTTGTCATATGTATGATCTTTTAAAGAAACATTCAAGATTTTGGTTGGATAATGTACGTTTGATTTGAATATGATATGAGAAAGTGGGGTGGGGGGGGTTATTGCGCTAGTATTGCCGGTGAAATTTAAAATAAAAATGAAACCAAATGTTTCATAGTAATGATAAGTTAATTTTTTTTAATTTTTTAAGTTTCCAAAATGAAAAATATACATGTGAATGGTATATATTATACACACTGCTCAATTTGAATTAATATCGGAGAAATAAGGGGAGGTAATACTGATGAATCAAAAATAATGTAATTTTAACATATCTGTAAATAGTGACAAGACAAAATAATCGCTAAATAAGTAAACAAAACTATTACATTTGTACACAATTTTCATGCAGGATACCATTATAAGTCTAACCACCCTAAATATCTAACAAGAGCTGTCCGTAAGACAGCGCGCTCGACTTTTTTATTGCTTGCCAATAAAAAAAGTTTTTGCAGTAAAAGGCAATACAAGAATCTCTGTATTTTTAAAGTGAACAATGGCCATGAGCATTAAGATATTTAGTGAAGAATTATTTTACTGAATTGTAAACAAGTATTCCAACTTTCAAATTAATATCTCAAACAGTTCAGTCAAAAAGTGGACTGGTACTAAAAACTTAACCAAGATTCTAAGTCGATAAAAGGCCTTAATTTTTAAAACAAATCCTTGACAGAGTTACCTTCTCTTGCGTACAGATGGGGGTAATGATGTGAAATAGCATTAAAAGTTTCAAAGCAATATCTCAAAGGGTTAAGGCAATAAGTGGATTTTACCCATATTCAATGTATTTTCTAAGTCAAAAAGGGGCATAATTCTGTCAAAAACCTTGACAGAGTTATGTCCTCTTGTCTGTTGATGAAGGTCGTGATGGTAAACAAGTATGGTCAGTTTCAAAGCAATACCTCCAATGGTTTTGAAATAAAGTGAGGTAGTACAAAAAACTTAACCAAGCTCAATACACTTTGTAAGTCAAAAAAGGGCCATAATTCTGTCAAAAACCTTGACAGAGTTATGTACTCTTGTCTGTAGATGGAGGTTATGATGGTGAACAAGTATGGTAAGTTTCAAAGCCATACTTGTAATACTTCTGAAATAAAGTGGGGTGGTACGAAAAACTTAACCAAGGTGTGACGCCAACGCCGACGCCGACGCCGACGCCGGGGCGAGTAGGATAGCTCCCCTTTTCATAGAAAAGTCGAGCTAAAAATGCAAAAAGGGGACAGTGCAGACAAGAATCAGACGGCACAGATATGCCAACTGACCTTGGTCTGCACTGATTGACCTTGCTCTGCACTGGTTGACCTTGGTCTCCACTGATTGACCTTGGTCTCCACTTGTTGCACGGCAGATTCACTCACCGCAAGCAGGCTAAAGGATAAACAATAGAAAAAAAAACAAGATCCTTACGGAAATCCTGCTTGGTAAACACCAAAGGGCAAAGAAAACATAATAAAATACAAGAAAAACAATTTAGTTTAAATGAAAGGGGGGGGGGGGGTAAATTGAATACAATATCTTTGTTTATTTATCAACTAAATTGAAAAAACGAGGGCCATAAATTTTATATATTATAAGGAAAAATAAGCATTTCCCTATTATAGATTTCAGTTGCAAAATGTAACAAGACCAAGTACAAGTTTTGCATAAAAAACAGAGGTCGTACTGAACTCACAGTGCCCGAAAGTAAGGGTGAACCCTCATTAAGCAAAGAATACACACAAGCGCGCATTAAAATTAGCTAGGAAATAAATAAAAAGTGCAGAGAACAATTTAGTAAACGCCTTAATTATCATGTCTAACCGATATTAATACCAAAAAAGTCCCTATATAGCACAAGAAAAGCTATATAGGCTAGTGCCTATTTTTGGTCGTACTCTCAGTGGCTGGTAAGGGCGGATGGACCCTCATTAAGCATAGAACACACAAACATGGTGCAATTGTTTGTATAGGTTATTTGATAGAATTTCAAGTTCTAAGTGATAAAAATACGAAGCAGAAAGGGGGAAAATTTTAGTTTCTTTTAACCAAAAAATAGGCTTAATTCCGCAAGATGGCTGTATTTATGGTTCATATAAACTTAATACCTATTTCTTATGTACAGATAATGTTTAATTGATTTATCAAGAAAACAGTTAGCTGTATTGAATGTTAAAATTACAGATTAATTTTGTCGTTTGTTAACTTCTTCTTATTGTTTTTGTTCATTATTTAATTACCTGTTTTTGAATGTGGAGTATATTATTGTGTACAGTTTTTTATATTTATATTTTTCATCTTCAAAAAATAATAAAATCAAATATTCATGAATTGGTTGTTTCCTTTTATTATAACTAATTTGCACCAATAGACATTGTATGATATTTTACTGAAACAGGAATATTGGATACACAAGGTTTATGCTACTATAATAATATATTTCGGAAGTTGATGAGTTAGTTCCCCTGAATTTTTCGGCACCAAGAATATCTTATGGACTCTATAAATATAGAAGGATTAGTTAGCATATCGATTGGAATAAAATAATCTAGTTCCATGACAATTTCTGTTATTCAACACAAGAATTTGTAACAGAGTTACCAACGTTCCCCGCCTAAGAGAGGTTTTACATGTGCTATTTCAAAAGATTGAGGTATGGATCTAGACTTTCAGTGCAAAATTTTGATCAATGCTAAATCATGCAAGTAACAATAATTTCATTAAAGAAATATATTGAAATAGCTCCTGTGGATGTGTCACCAGAAAAAACATTATATATACAAATCTTGTTATCATTATTTCAAAGTCACAAAATGTGACAAATACAAAATAAACAACAGGATATGGTCCTGTTACAGGGTTACATTAAAAAAAAAAAAAAAAAAAAAAAAAAAAAAAAAAAAAAAAAAAAAAAAAAAAAAAAAAAAAAAAAAAAAAAAAAAAAAAAAAAAAAAAAAAAAAAAAAAAAAAAAAAAAAAAAAAAAAAAAAAAAAAAAAAAAAATATATAAAAATTTTTTACTTATTTAAATAAAAAAAACAAAAAAAAAAACCATTTGGGGTTTTGGGTCATGTCCAGTCATCAATCATCAACCAATGACATTATCATACCCTGTAACAGACTATTTTAGACTTTGACCTCCAAGTGTGACATTGGCCTTTTAGGTAGGGGGTCTAGGTGTTGTACATGACCTGTCGTCTTACTATTGTTAACATTTGTGCCAAGTTATTTTAAAATCCCTTGATTGATGAAAAAGTTATATACCGCACACAAAATATACTCTGATATAGAACAGACCATGCTAAGCTTTAGCACTCAAGTGTGACCTTGACATTGAAGGTAGGAGTCTGGCTGTTTCATACGACACATGGTCCAATTATGGTGAACATTTAAGCCAAGTTATTTCAAAATCCCTTGAACAATAAAAAGAATCATGGACTACACACAAGATATACCCTATAAAAGACCATTTTAATATTTGACCTCTAAGTGTGGCCTTGACCTTGGAAATAAAGCCTGGGTGTTGTATATGGCAAATCATCTTATTTTTGTCAACGTATGTGCCAATTAATTTCAAAATCTCTTGATAGATGAAAATGTTATTGACCGGACACCACGAATGCCCTCGAACAGATGACGTTGACCTTTTATAACCAACTGTGACCTTTACCTTGAAGACAGACGTCTGAGTGTTGCGTACGACACACCACCTTCTTACTGTGAACATTTGTGCCAAATATTTTCAAAATCCCTTGATGGATGAGAAAGTTATGCACTGGAAACAATATTCTTGACCTCCAACTGTGACCTTGACCTCGGAGGTAAATACCTGGTTGTTAAGCAAGACACATCGTCTTATTATTATGAACATTTGTGCAAAGAATTTTCAAAATCCATTGATCTATGAAGTTATGGACCGAACACAAAATATACCCTGTAACAGTCTATGTTAATATTTGTACTCCAACTGTGACCTTGACCTTGGAGGTAGGCGACTGTTATTGTGCATGACACATCAACTCATTATTGTGATCATTTGTGCCAAATAGTTTCAAAATCCCTTGATCTATGAAGAATTGATGGACCGGACACAAAATATATCTTGTAACAGACCAAGTTAAGCATTGGGCCGGACACGACATAAATTACACCTTTATATAGACAATGTTGACTTTTAATCACCAAGTGTGACCTTGACCTTGGAGGTAGGCTCCTGGTTGTTGCGCATGACACATATCGTCTTATTATAACACACAAGTATTTGTTCCAAGTTATAATAAAATACATAGTTATAGACCGGACACGAAAATGTGACGGACGGACAGACCGACGGAGCCTATGTCTATATCCCCCTTTTGTGGTCGTGCGGGGAACAAAAACAACTAAAATAAGATGACTTACAATTCCGCATATGGATGATTGCTACCGGAAATCCTCATATTTACAACCGGAAACCCACATACTGTTTACATTTCGGTGATCCATATAAAGTCGGTTCAAGGTGATGTAGCTTACAAATACCAATATATGATTTATGTACCGAATCTGCTTCTTTCATCAACAAAACCGACTGCAACAGATGGGTTTTCCTAAGAATAATACAATTTGTGTCCAGTTTCACCTACATCCGCCAGCTTGTATTTCCCGCGAAAATAATGCTACTAACGACTACATTATTTTCGCAGACGTCATCGTCTATAAAAATAAAACTAGGACGCTTGACACGCATATTATCAGTAACAATATATATAACCTGCACACACTGGTTAGTCATTTTTCTTTTTAAATTTACTTATCTTATTTAAAGGCACATTAAAAGCTTTAACTTATGATAATTCTCTTCTTGCACAGTACACAACACAGACATAAATTATGTACACACATGTATGTGTTTAAACACGAGTGTGTAGTTTAATTTAAAACTGTATGTGCATAGTCGCGTGTCTGTATCAGGACAGGTGGTTATGTGTGTACTGTAGAAAGTGTGAGGTGTATGTAAATATACATGTAGAAAAAATTGATATAATTGGGACGGCTCATCTTTAATGTTTTCTGGTTTAAACTGGAATCTGTGGTCTTGTTAACATAATCAACTTATTGTGGAGAAGGTAAACATTTTAAATTTCAAATATAATTAAACTCGTGTAAACAATTACATTAATATTCATAAAAGTCGTATTGTTTTAACTTCTACTGTATAAGTATACTACGAAGGAACACGTTTCAGGTGCATATCACATTAGGTTCTAGATTTATGTAGCCATAATATGTGTTAAATTTATATATCATATAGTGAGTAAGTAATTTAAGCTATTCAAACCAATTATATTCAGCCATGTATATATACATGTATAAATGTACATGTAATTTATAACGCAATATATAGTCTACATGTTTTCACTTTTCCCACTAACGTTTCCTTGTATTCAGTGTGATGATCTTGTTGGTATAGTCACAATATTGAATCAAATACATTTAATATACTCGTATGTAACGCATGTACACTGGTATCTAATTAACATCAATTAAAGCAGCATGCTAATTTTCATGAAACTTTTTAAAATATATTAAAATGTAAAATATTGACAAATGAACAATGAAAGTAATTTACACATTGTCAATGGGGTTTACAATTCACAAAAATTACTAAAATAAGCAAAAAATAGACTTTAAAGTTACGAGAACTTTAGTAGAAATATGATGATTTATTGTACATGTATACTTTTAAATGAAATTTTGAGAAATATTGATGAAATAAAATGCATATTTTCATTTTCCGTATTTTCACTGTAAAAATTTATTTTTCACTGCAGTGAAACATATTTTCCGTATTTTCACTGGTGTCTTGCCGGACTACTTTCTTTTAAATTGAAAATAAATCATGTATTTATAGAAAAAACTTGAATATCCTCTATATATACTTCAAAATAACCTGTAAATTATGTTTATTTTTTCTTGATTTTCTTGAAATATTTTGGCTCATCTGGAGATGTGCAGCTTTAAAAAAAGGCACAATGAACTAATGATTTGTTTTTTATGGTCAAAGCTTAGCACTATATTGTTTTTAATCCAAACTTGACAACTTATATGCCTTTTAGTTCAACTTGATACATTGTAATGCTAACATTGAAATTCTTAGATCGTAACAGCGGCAGTCTTTCATGACCGTGAAATAATCCGTGAAATTCGTGCAGTTTTGGACGAACCACTTTGCCAGTCCAATCTTTATACAGATGAATTCTAGAAAAGTTGTTAAAGACCCGGAAGTAAAACTTAAACACACATTTATAAAGTAGATCTATATTCCTTAAACATAACTTCAAAGCTATTTTCTTCGCTATTGCCATATAGTATGTTTCCTTAATTGGAGTAAAAACTAATTAGACCTTGGTACTCGATCATTTCCGGAGCGTTAAGTGGCCATATTTTTATTGGGGTTAAATTTCAACATAATGTTCTTAAATTATACAAACAATTAGGAATATACATTTCCACAATATAGCTTTAACAATTACGGAAGATTTATTTATTTTATTTTTTATTTATTGAAACGCAGAATGCGGATACCAGGATCGGTTGCCATAGTAACTGGAGGAGCACGTGGATTCGGGAAGGCTTTCACTGAGGAGCTATTAAAGAGAGGAGCCAGAGTAAGTTGTTTTATTGGCTTATTCTTTGTAAAATATGTCTTAGTGTAAATCTGGTCCACCTATGGTGGCTAATTTGTGCCATGACGTATTTTCGCTCCTCGGAGCGCCGGACGAAAATACGACTAAGTTGTGACTTTTGTCGTATTATCATGTTTTCGCCCTGCGGATTGAATGTACGGCAAAGTTTTGACTTTGTCGTATTTTCGCGTGGCGTCACCGGAGCGAAAATACGACATGGCACAATTCAGCCACCATATCCACCAGAAAGCATAGAAAAAGAGATGCATGCGCGACTATATACCTTAAAATGAGTAAAAATAACTTTATATCACAAGTTATGAAAACTATGATATAGTCAATATTGGCCTATATGATTGAAAAATCGTAAAAATCTTACATACAATTGCGGTATTTGTATTTACATCAGTTGCAAAGATAGTTTGCATACGTATGTGACGATAAGCTGGTGTGACATTTATTTTTATCTTTGATTAGACAAAAGCGTGATCTTGAATTTATAAATAATCGCCGGTATTGAAGAGGTTAACGTTACAATATTTATATAAACTCATGCACAACATAATAGTCATTCGGTTCCCCTCCTCTATAATTGATACATGTTTATGTAATCAGTGATTTACCGAAGTAAAGTTATATAACAGAAATGGCCGAACATTTGCATTTTATTTCCCAGCAAATCGTTGATATTTATAAGTACATGACATGCCTAGAATGACATTTTTAAACATTCAACTTAGATACTTTACAAAAATGCTATTCTAATATAATTTGGAATATAAGAATATAGATAGAACAAGGCTGGTACATGTATATTTCACTCCCCTCTACGAGAACAATAATAATATAATCTCATTTTTACTGTTTTACTCCCTCTTTGTCTCCTTATGTTTTACTTGGCATAAATATATATATATTATCAAGTTACAAATGAATGTACACAAATCAGTCGCACTCCTATTTTTTTTAAATTACACTCCGCATATATTTCGATAGATAAAATATAAGTTTAAAATACTTTGTATGTTTGTTTTAGGTATGTTTTGCTGACGTCAATGTCACTGAAGGCTTGCAGACAGAACAATCGTTTAAAGCAACCTATGGGGAAGATAACTCTATGTTTGTTAAATGTGATGTTACAAGTGAAACGGACTTCAACGGTAAAACTGATACTAAAATATTAAATCAACAAACTTGATAAGAAATAAAAAATTATTATCAACATGGCAACTTGATATAGAAATCTTCCCTTGGTGATGTTTTTAGAGATTTAAGTTTGAGATCACTGGCAAAATATAACTGAAACAATTCAGTTCGGCGAGCAGAGAACATGATTGTGTTAACGAGCAAGTGGTACATCTGTAAAGGTAACCCTAGTCTGATTCTCAACGGAGCGTTGTGTAAGGGACTAGCCTAAATCATGTAAGATGTACTCGCATCTTTACAATCCCTAGTTTAAAAGTATCATTATTGGGGCGTCCGTGGCCGAGTGGTTAAGGTCGTTGACTTCAAACCACCTGCCCCTCACCGCTGTGGGTTCGAATCCCGACAGGCACTTTGGATTCTTTAATGTGAGGAAGCTATCCAGCTAGTTTACGAACGTCTGTCGTTATACTCAGGTGCCCGTTCTTGCCTGAAATAATGCACGGAGGGGCACCTGAGGTCTTCCTACACCAGTAAAGCTGGAAACGCGATATGACCTATATTGTGTCGATGTGACGTAACCCCCCCCCCCCCCTCTATGTGGAAGATCAAGATGTGTGTCGTATATGAATAGAATGGTTTAATTATTTATTAAAGAAACCCCACTGAGGTCCAAAATCCTTAAAATATACAATTTGAATTTCTTACATAGATTAGCTGGGGCATTTAAAACAGAAAGCTATACAACAGATAATAAAGAAATATACTCAGAAATAAACTGATAATCGCATTTTTGTGCTATTCTTAACTCGATTTGAGTGAAAAGCGTTGCAACGGTTTTTAATTTTGGGTCATCTTTCACAACGAAAATAATTATTCTGAGCATTTGCACCCAGACCTATATCAAGTCATTCAATTTGGACATTAATCTCGGAAAAAATATTTCCAGTCCCGTCATGTCAAATAAAAAAACTCAATGAAGTCCCTTTAATATGTTCATTTCAGGACTATGGAAGACCGCACTTGAAAAATTTAAATCTGTTGATTTGATGGTAAACAATGCTGGTATATTAAATGAAAATATACCACAGAAGACTATAGAAGTTAATCTAGTAAGTGTGTTAATAGTTTATTTTATAGCTTCTATTATTATAAATTTTAATGTATAAAGCATATGCGGACGCTCGGTCATTTCCGGTTATTATTTGTTTAAAAGTGTTTGATTTCGTTGATTTACGATGGAAAACTGCAATATGACCTCTTTCACCGATGGCGCAATGACGATGGGAGCTGCCATAACTATGACTATAATAATAATTCAAAAATAAATATATATATAAAAAAATAAACAAAACACGTAAAACAAGACATTGAAATTGCATCTTTTCTTTAATGTCAGTTGGGAGCGATGCGAGGGACAGATCTTGCCATTAAATATATGAGAAAAGACCAAGGTGGAAATGGAGGTCTTATTGTTAATGTTGCTTCAACGGGAGGTAAGTATTCTCGCCTTCAATACTGGCAAGATGTTTCTATATTAAAAGTAAGAATATTTTGTAAAGACTATCAAAAAAAATACATATACTTTTTGTTAAAGACAGGTTTATTTTTAAAATCGAGCCCCTCTTAACCGGACAACTTCACTACCAAATTTCTGTCCGGTTTAAAAGAGTGTCCGGAATAAAGGGGATGACATTTTGATAACATTTTAGAGTTTCATAAATCATAAATGATCTTAGATAGTTTATATATCATAAGTTATCATAATTTTTTCTTACAAAATATTTTTGACAAGTATGTATATATATTTTCATGAACTTTAAATCAAATTAGTAATGAAAACTTACTTTTTTTAAGGAATAATGCCCGATAATAAATAAAAGTTAAATAAAAGTAAATAAATAAAAGTAAAATATTCTGGTTACAGGATTATTTCCGGTTTTCTTCATGCCGGCATATGCAGCATCAAAATATGGTGTAGTTGGATATACAAGAAGTTGGGCGGTAAGTTCAATAAATATACGTTTGCCCATTAAGCTGGTAGATCAGAAAGACTACTAACCACATTTTGTACAAACATGTAGCACAATTTGAATGTCCTCTGGCAATTCGAGCTTCTGAATTAAGGCTTTTCCGAATTTGGAGCAATCTCTACGGAACACTACCGAAATAGCCGAATATTTCAATGTTTACCGAATTCCTTTACGGTTTTCAGCACATTATGCACAAAGTCCCCTTTTTGCTTAAGAGTAATAATTATAGATTTTCTATATGAGATAAGTATATTCTATATTGATAGGGTTTTTTTTTCAAATTCACCGAAGTATAATGGTTCATTTATGGCGTCTTAACTAAAATATGCTTTTCTTCCTTTTTTCGAAAAAAAACCCCAAACAAACAAGCAAAATATATATAATATAAATTCGATGAAGTTTGCTTTTACCGTCAATGTATTTTGAGTGACTCATTAAATAACATAATTGAAATATGTTTTGAAACATTTCAGGGAGGTGAAAATATAACACTAATTGACGTCAAATATGACGTCACGACGTTTAATGGGTTTTCTTTCAAAACATAATTTGTTTCAAAATAATGCACCAGAGATCTGCCAAGAATTTGAAAGTACTGGGCCCTGGGCCCACTTGGTCTGAAAATGATGGGCCATTTTTACCAAAGTATGGGCCTTGGGAAAATAAGTAAACATTGACCTAAATAATTGTTAAAAAGTTTGTAGATAATTGAATTTCCCTGGTAATAAAACTTACATCATATTTTATGACAAGTGGTTCACTTATGAATAATTAAAAAATTATGTCTACATGGTAACTTTCTAACTAATATTAATTGCAGGCAAAATATTTTTTCAAATGGCTGCTCAAAAATTTGATATGCAAATTTATTTACATAATTGCTGGTTCTTACTTCTAATGTCTAATAATGTGCATTATCCATTTAATTGTTCCTACTTTGCACCAAATGTCCCTAACCACTGTATATTGACGAATTTTATTGCCCCTTGTATGCCTCTGTGTAGACAGCATACATCAAAGACACTTGCCGACAGACCTTTTGATCATGAAAAAAATCACGCACAATGTTTCCCTGATTGGTTAATCACCCTGTCAAATATTCTGATGACGAAATAGACATCTTTTTTACACTAAATCAGCCAAAGCTTGCATGAACTTGAGTGACCTTAGGGGTGATCAAGTTTTACACCTGTCAGATTATACTGTAACTTACAGCATTTCTTAAAATACCAACACTTTTTTTTCAGTTATCGATAATCATTGTAAATATTAAGTAGTTGTATAATTTGTTTGTTTGTTTTATTGGATTAAATTTACGTAGTAGAAATGAGTATCTGTGTGGGAAAGGGATTATAAGAAGAAATGTGGTAAGTAGATAACATGGACAAAAGCTATAGGGGAATGGATTAACTCAAGAATATGTATATGTTAGTGTTCATCCGTGATGTTCTACAGAAATTAGAAACTTTGACGGGAGCGATAGCGACAGGAGAATGTTTCTAATTTCTGTAGAACAGCACGGATGAATAGTAACAAATTTAGTGTCAAGCTTTATTTGGCCTCATAATCAGTCACTTTATTACGTCACTATGTGGTTTTATGAAGTACTATGAAAAATAGAAGTCGACTATGGACGAATTTGATATAGAATCGACTTTTGTTCTTCTATGAAAATTAACGCACAAAAATACAGCGTTTTCATTGGATGACAAATAAAGTTGGACACTAAGCGTGATTACAGGGGAATGGGTAACATGTTGCTGTTAGTACCAGTTTTGACTGGATGACTAAATACCCAACGGACAGTTTTATTTTCTTATAAGTCTGGCACAGATTTTTGATGCGCCCATGGCCCTTTGCTGCCGATTTTCCTGCGCCATTCTCATTTTTTTAGCGCCAATGGCGCAAAATCGCGTCCTCGGCAGATCTCTGATGCACAAGTATAACTAAGTACTGGTAACGAAAACAAACTATGTCAAAATTATTGTATTACTAAAAGAAACGAACTTCACCTTCCCTGCTAATGTTACAACAACAACAACAATGTATTACGTACCATTCATGATCATTCTGTATGTTTCAGGCGAACCCGTCCTGTCAGGAGTACGGTTTAAGTTTTGCGTGCTTGTGTCCGGCATTTAGCGAAACTAATATGTTATCTGACGCATTAAATGATGACCCACCTCTCGTATCGTATCACGAGAACAAGACTCAGGTACAAGAAATTATACAGGGGATAGGTGTTAACAAGTAAGTAGTAACGTTTTAGAGGAAAAAAATTAACAATCTCAAAATTATATCATAAATTTTCGTATCATGAAACTTTAATTACATATAATCTAAAAACAGTTAAAAATGTCGACTAATTTAAAGTTGCATGCCTCCAGATGAGCTAAAATATTTCAAGAAAATCAAAATTTAGAAAAATGTACTAAAGAAAAGTATTTCAAGTAATAATTTAAATGTTATGTGCGATTAATAACCGATTTTTCAGAAGGCCTATTTATAATCATATTTAAACTGTGTGACTAGGGCAGTAAGTTTTTTTTTTTATTTTGACCTTCTTTTCGGTATTTTACTAGAGTTTTATTTTTTATTCAGAATTGACGATGTGACGAAGGCTTTTATTGAACTGGTAGAGAAGGAAGATAATAACGGAGCGGTTGTTACCATAGAGCAAAGTCGAGGAACTATTTATAGATTTACAAAACATCCGCATAAACTTTGAACAAAAGTAGTCCCTATGTGTCACGTGGTATTCTAGAACCAAAACCCGGATTCAAAATGTTTTTAAGAGATATTACAAAATTTGTGACTTGTGGTATTGTAGGGTAAATAAAAATAAATGTCACTTGGTATTCCAAAAAAGGTCAGTGTCTCTAAGTTTCTGGGGAAAAAACGTTGGATGAAGTATTCAATAAAAACATTCTTAAAAAGCGTGGCATGCAAAAATTTACTGTCACATATTTATCTTAAATTCGGTTGACATGTAATATTGTGTACAGACATTTCGAACAAGAATTCATAGTGATACATTTATTTGAATTTAGATTTTATACTATTTTTGTGTATTTATTAAAGCTTTTATTGAGAATTTGTAAATATATGATAATATAATATATAGTTTTAAGTATAAAGATTTGACAGGTTATATGTCCGAATACAAAGGGTTATATGTTTATATAACCAAAAGCTGCTGGGCTGGGGTTATATTGCAATCTACCATTTATACACGGTCATATATAACCTGTCAACATTTTTTTTATACAAAACATTTTTTTTAGATAAAAATTCTTATTTCATAAATAAACAACAGTCATGTAGTATACAGTATATATTCTATAAAAGTCAAGGTTATCCAATGAAAATCGATGCTAAAAATAAGCAGTATTATTCTATAATTGAATATAAATTCATTTTAGCTCCATTTTTCGGAGATGGGGGTGGGGGCGGGTGGAGCTTTTTTCAAGACCGATTCGACGGCGTTGGCGTTGATTTATCTTTTTATCTAACTTATTGGGTTAAGTTTTAATTAAGTTTTCGTTCATGATCTTTACTTTCAATACAAACAACGCTGTGACATTAAAACTTACCTGTCATACCCATTTTTCAGTTCAAAAGGACAAAGGTCAGAGGTCAAGGTGACTCGGAACCATAAAATGTCACATAATATTAAATTTAAGTGCAATTAACTATCAAGCACCGAAAAAGGTAGAGCGCCCTTCTCCTAGGACAGCTCCTGTTAAATTGTTTTCTACTTGTGGTTAGTTTAAATAGAGTTTTTATAATGTACATGTACGTCGTTTATGTGAATGCTGAGAAAAGAGTAATGTCTCGTATGTTATTATGGTGCTATACAATAATATATAAATATTTATTTATTGTGCAAATTTCATTGTATTGAAATTGTTTTGCCTCCATACTGTACATGTATAGCGTTACGTAGCTCCCTAATGAATATAATCAGCATTAATAAATGAATTTAAATGTACTTGTAAATGTGTGTTTGTTGGTTTTGTTTGTTGCCAGTCTGACTTAAGTTCAAGTTTTATTATGTTTATGTCTCTCATGGCGGAGCGTTATTTCGTCAGTAATCACTGCCCTTATATGAACAGGAAGTTTCGCGAGAGTAAAAAATCATTAAAATGGCGTCGCCCTAGTACTATAGCGCAGTAAAATATTAACATGAAAACTAGAATTTCTCCCTCTTAAGGTAGAACGCGACACTTTCTGAACTTCAAGTAGCGTCTTGAAAATTGGCATGTAAAAAGGTGACCATATTTCAGATTAGATTCCGTTTTCCATTATTCAGCCATTTTTGTACGCATGACGAATAAGGATAGTAATAGGTGTGTCGAACCTCTCTGGGATTCGGATAACATCTGGTTTTTTTTAAAATTAAAATCACGCAAAAAATTGACTCATTCTCCTAGAAAACTTAAAATTGAAAAATTATGTTTGGATTATGTAAAACTTCTTCCTGAAATCTCGTGGACCACCAACTGCCCCACCCCCACTTCCCGCTCCCCCGACCCCACCCCCTTCTAAAAAAATCCTGAATTCGCTCCTAAACTTTTTTTCCATCACCTGCTTATTGGGACTTCAGGGAGTCTTTGTATTGTCATCATAAAAAAATCGATGACAAAGTAACAGAAATTGTCTATTTGCCAGTACCTAAATTATCACAATTATCAACTCTCACATTGTTTGTTAACAAATGTAACATATGTGTAAGTCATAAAAATTGTATCTTACGCTTTTGTCAGTGAAATATATCATTTAAATTTTATATTTGTCTGATACACCATTGGATTAAGATTTAGCAAGGTTCTGTAAAACGCCATGTCGCTTTGATTACTAGTGTAAAATTTTCTCGATGTTTATTGAAACTAACGAGTCTCGGCGGATACATACAAATCCATTGTGATAGTTTACGCTCTTATATAATAACACATATTATATATTTGTTGGCCGACGTTGCATTTACTAAAGGTATTTATTTTGTAATTACATTGTGTCTTTTAATGTTAAAATTTATTTATATGCGGTTCTTTTAGACATTTTATTTTTTCGTTTTGTTTTAAATGCACATTATGCCTCAGAAACAAATAAATTGTTGTTTCTTTAATACATGTATATACTTTGCTCATCTTTGGGTTAAATATCCTTACCACAGAAATTCATTGAAATCCATGAAATCTTTACTGAATGTTTTAAATTTGAGTAAAAATGTGTTCAAATTTTGTATTCCCTGTTAAAGGTCAAGTGAAATTGGCCTTTTCTTAGAAAACCTGTCTTTTGTTAATGACCCTAGTCATATTGTGACCACTTATAGTGTATGGAGTTTAAACAGAACATATCTACTTTGAATGAAGCCGAATCATGTTTATTTAATATTTACTGTGTAGTGGTTATCAATATTTTCAAACACCAAATTTGAGCAAAGTATATCTTAAAGAAAGGGCAAACTTGAATTTTATCATGTTTAAAAATAGTATAAAATAACTTTAGATGCTTGTTACCCGAAGAAATTTACGATAAATATGAAATAATTTAGCCATAAAGTAGCAAAATGTAAACACAGTAGTATTTTGACTTCCATATAAAGCACTAATTCACTGTAACTGTACATATTGCCAAAAGCTACAGTTAAGGTAATTGACCAGTAACTTACTTTTTAGATACCAAAATTAAAAACTTTTGAGAAATAAATATAAAAGCATTTCGGAGGCATTATGGTCCTTTATTGGACACAAAATATTATTGAAAGTAATCAGAGTTGCTTGACATTTATATATGTATATATCATAACACTGTTATTTACAAACTATATATGCCTCAGTTATTTTAATCGTAAGTATTACTGAAGCATTACATAAATATGCATTTTATATTCACGTACCCCTCCCGTTTTTACCACAAAAGTTGGGAGATACATTTTTATGAAACAATTCATGCACGTGCACTCTAAGAAACTGGAAACTTTATCGTATTCCGAACTGTGTTTTAAGTGTCGTCAAAATGGACTTCCAATTGAATCTATTACTAAGCGTATGTAAAAAAGTGTTATTTTCATAAAATTCCATTGTGTTCTATATACAAAATTGTACATGCTTCAGCAATTATAGATAAATAAATTTGAAACGTGCATATAGAAATCAACAATTTCTAGTTTTCTACTCATTATGCTTTCATTTTTGAGATTCTTCTTAGACATTATTAGCAGAGGAAACAATAAAAAAAAACAATTCTATCTTAGATTGATAACGTTTTACTTAGGGAAATTAGGTTTGGCAGTATTTTGTCCTTGGCTGTATAAGAACATTAAATATTTCAGACAAATGAAAAGAGTATAAGATTTACAATTACATGTGTAAAATATTATTTGACTAAAGTCCATTATGCGGACATTAGTAGACTTGTAAAGGGAGGTAACTAGTATGATGATAAGGTTGTCTCCCTTGTATTAAAATAATTGATGACTGTCGTCTGAAAGCGCAAGATTAATACTTATTAAAGTGTTCTCATTTTATCAAATCATGATTCATTTTGCATGTATATTAGTTTCTATAATGAATTTTTGTGTGCCCCTTTTCTATTTTACGGCAAAGTATCCTCTCTTTTGCAGACGAAGATTAGTTAACATTTATTTAAAAATGTTCAGCTACAATACGAGGCTTGGATTTACCATTGTGACCTGTGCTATTATTCTTTTCTTGTTTCTGTGGTCACATGACACTGCAAGCTCAGAGCGAACAAGGTTCTTAGTATTTAATAGCGAATCACGTGACAACATTCCTACAATTCCACTTCATATACATAACAATTCAGACACGTATTCCAGCTTTGTTGAGACGGTGAAACAAAAGTATGGAAGCGTTAGATTTTCCGGAATCTATTCTGTAAATGACGAGTTGAATACGGAAGAGGAAGAGAGGTTCCGAATATGTGTTGCCAATGGACCACGTGACCTTGTTAAAAATGGTTCCCTGTTTTGGAAGACGGCACAGATACGTCGTACACATCACAGTTACCTGTCTAAAGAAGGCGCTGTACTCATGGAAGTTGGAGGTTTGAAATTAGATATCTGATTCTTTGTTGGTCTGAAATGTTTTTTTTTTATTAAGTGAAGTCAATCATTTTAGTAAATAACAGTCATTGACTCTCTTCTAACGCTAAATTGGCAAAAGCTACTCTAAATTTGACTGTAGATTACTTTGTTTTCATTATAAGATGTAATTTCCCAACCATTTAATTTTTCAAAGAATTTTTTTGTTTATCGTCATGCACAAGTATTGTTGATTATAATAAAATTTTATAAAATCATACATCATTCAGAATCTTTAGGGTTAGAGTTTAAACACCTGCATTTTATCACCAACAGGTAACCAAGGCGACGATGCGTCTGAGTTTGTCCGTCTGTACAACCCTACGTATCTAATACTGGAACCACTTGAAAAATATGCAAATTTACTAACAGAGAAATTCAAAGATAATGAAAGGTAAGGGTTAAATAAATCAAAACGGTAAAATATAGACAATTCCTTACATCTTGTTTGTACAATCATTTGATGCAATCGTATCTTCTGCATGATCGTGAATAGTTGTGAGGGAGCAGGGGCGGATACAGAACATGGTTACCTGGGGGGGCTGACATATGGGTGGAAGATTTTGACAAAAATAATGCAACAGGCGAAAATTGTGCATGTTTGAATATAGGGCCAATATCTTGTTAATGTGACAAAAATTTGTAATTTATGTGTTTTATATGTCAATGTATTTTTCGCTTATATATGTGTACACTAATGTTTTTGTAAATGTTTAGATGATATGGAATTAAGAAAAATATATGTCATTGGGGTGGGCTTGGGAGGGGTGTCCCCTCCCATAGACTGAGAAAATTTTGAAATATGAGGTTGAAAATGGTGTTATTTCCTTGACTTTCTAGTGCTGTTTATGGTACCTTTTGGATGGTTTTACAGGTTAGTGTTTGCAGGGTATTTCAAATTGAATTCCTTTGGTGTTTAGTATTAAGCATTTACAAAATAACAGCACACTAACCAATGTATGTGCGACTGTTGATAAAAATAATTTCAAACACTTGATCAATGTACTCATCTGAATAATAGACAATTTTCCAAAGTAAAGTGATATTAAAATACTGCCTTTCAATTGTACAAAAATAATTTCAAACACTAATATTCAATAAGAATATTTTCCATCAATGAATCCATTTTAGATACTAAAGAGGTCAGTTCAATTTAAATTTTACTTAAAAAAATATAAGTGCTATAAAAAAGTTATTAAAAGCAAATGACCAATCAGTTCATCTGAATAAAAATCTTGGAAAAAACAGTTATTAAAACGCGATTCATTTAATATAATCTTTATAAAACTCACCATCTTTTTTATTTACAAATAATAATTTTCAATTTCTTAATCAAAGAAAATTGAAAAACAAAGATAGTAAATTATGGTGTACAATGTAACACATCTATTTGCCACTATCTTTGACTATTAATGCAAGGAGCGTAGCGTTCAAAGTGGTTTCTATGTTAATCCATGTTACTCTTTCACTCAATTTTTATAAATCAAAGTGCCTGCCAGTGATAAGATATGTGAGTAAGAATATTAAATTTAGGCTTATTTCCTAAAAAAATATCTCTCAATATTCATCCGACACGAAATTATTTTGTCGGCCGAAAGAAAGCTGGCCAATGATTGGTTGAAACACTTGTTGGGCATAAATTCTGATTTTCATGTCCAAAGAGTCAATCTATTTTTGCCATATTTTATGAAAAGTTTTTTTTTTTCGTCAATTAAACAACAAATCATTTTAATTTCAGGGTCACTGTGCTCAACCTTGGACTTGGCACGAAAAATGAAGTCGTTATGGTAAAAATAGAAGGAAATAACGCATGCGCAACCAGTAAGTTTTCCACCGCACGCGGAGAAACCCCATTGTACGTCACGAATGCAACGGAATTCCTTCTCAAAATTGGAGTGGGTCTTTTTAATATAGACCTTTTTACAATGAACTGTGAGGGTTGCGAGTTTGAAGTTTTAGAAACATTATTATCCACAAATTTAGTGAACCATTTACGAAATATTCAGTTTGCTACACACAGCAGGATCAGTGGTCTTGAAAAGCCAATACAACGGTATTGCAGAATCCAACAACTACTGTTTCGGACTCACAGGCCAACATATCAATATAAACTCATTTGGGAAAGCTGGAGGCGAAGGGACCTACCGTGAAAAGTTGATTTGGACAGTGAATTTAAGTTTTACAAGCTGTGTAGATCTAATATGAAATACTTTACTGTAAATCTCAAATTATCAATAAAAAACACGGAAATATATATACATGTAAGTGGCGTCTATTACCGAACAATCAAATTCTTGGCATATAAAGTGTTCGGCAATATCCGCCCTGCTCTATTATAAAATACAGCTTTTTAAGTGTATACATAACAAAAACAAAACTGTTACCCCCCACATTTTTTACAAGGATAGAAAATATGATAATGAAGTATTGTACAGTATGTAATAACATATGAATAAATATTTCCTTACTGCGTTAATGGATCGTAAAAACTGAGGAGAAAATAAGCAACACATTTGGTTAGGGTACTCATATAAGCAAAATATCCATACAGTCTTTTTCATTTTCTTTTCATTTCTAAAACTGAGCTCTGTTTTAGACGTTTTTACGATAATTCGTTATACATAACTAGCACGAAAATACATTTTACTCAAAGTTTATTGAAACAATATATATCTACATTTATTTCAATTTATAAACTGTTCGTGCAGGAACATGTTTGACATCCGGCGTCATCAAGTGGTCCTAGCATATAGTTACCCTTACACGTGACTAAACAGTGTACCAAGTCGGCGCAATCTTTATGTTCTGACAAAGAAATAAGATAACACAATTCATAAATATAGACGGTTGCGCAATGGTTTTTATTATCCCCGCCGAAAATTTTCGGCGGAGGATATAGAAATAGTCTCCGTCCGTCCGACCTTCCGTCCGTCCGTCCGTCCTTCCGTCCGACATTTTTGTCCGGAGCATATCTCTAAAAGTATTTGAGTTATCAACTTGAAACTTCATAGGTGGATAGACCTCATTAAGGAGGAGTGCAGTGTACAAGAATGATAACTCTACCTTGCATGATTTTTGAGTTATTGCCCTTTGTTATTTTTCAAAATTGATTTTTGTCCAGAGCATAACTCCAAAAGCCTATGAGATATTAACATGAAACTTCATAGGTGCATAGATCTCACTCAGGAGGTGTGCAGTGCACAAGAATGATAACTATACCTTTCATAATTTTTGAGTTATTGCCCTTTGTTATTTTTCATACCTAATTTTTCACCTGAATGGAGCATAACTCAAAAAGTGTTTGAGATATCAACATGAAATGTCATAGGTGGATAGATCTTATTGAGAAGGAATGTTGTGCGCAAGAATAATAACTCTTCCCTATACAATTTTTGAGTTATTGCCCTTTGTTTTATTTTCATGCTATTTTGTCCAGAGCTTATCTCAAAAAGTATTCGAGGTATCAACTTGAAACTTCAAAGGCGGATGGATCTCATTGAGGAGGAGTGCAGTGCTAAGAATGATAACTCTAAAAGCCTTTGCGATATCAAAATGAAACTTCATAGGTGCATAGATCTCACTCAGGAGGTGTGCACTGCACAAGAATGATAACTCTAACTTTTATAATTTTTGAGTTATTGCCCTTTGTTCTTTTTCATACTTAATTTTTCAATTCAATTTTTTTCTCAAAAAGTATTTGAGGTATCAATTTGAAACTTCATAGGTGGATAGATTTTACTGAGGAGGGATGCAGCACACAAGAATGATAACCTACCCTGCATTATTTTTCAGTAATTGCCCTTTGTTATTTATCAGTATTCACAAAGGTTTCAAATCTGTAATCACTATAGCCATCAGTTTTCATTACCAAAAGACCTCTTAAAATGGAATTATTCCGCTCTACTACATATACATTCTTTCAACGAGCAAACACATTCGGCGGGGGATGGCCATGTTGACATGGCTCTTGTATGAATATAGAAATAGGAAGAGTGAATTTTAATACCTACACATTTAAAAACACTCTCCCTACCTAATTGTAATACATGTATTCTTATATCTTTAAACACTGACCTTGAAATTTGAATTTGCAATGGCCTGATGAACAATTATTGTACTTAATTGGCGTAAATTTTCGATGATGTCACATTATCAATTAGCTATTGACGAATTCCCGTTTTTTTGTTGTTGTTTTTTTTTACACTTAAACTTCCGGCTTAAAACGGAAAAAAAATTATCCGACAATAGTTTTATAACATTAAAAAAATGTTTTAAGATAATATTAAATGCTTATCACTTGAGCAAAGTAGCGCAGTAAGTAAAATTATTTGTGTTAAAAAAGTAGCCAAATGTTAACAAAGTAGTATTTTGACTTCCATTCACTATGTACAAGTGTACTTATTGCAAAAGGTCAAGCAACTGGCCAATGCGTAACTTTTCGGAACATAATTATATAACAAAAAAAGAAAAAAAAGATGAGAAACAAAAATAAAAGTATTTCTTAGGCATAATGGGCATTTAAGAAATAATGCGAGATAGTTTACTCACGCATTCTATTTTTAGCAGAACACTCGGCACCAACGCAGTCTGTATTATAGGCTACCGACGACACTGAAGAAAGACAACCATGCTATTCAATTCTGAGAAATTGCCCATGACTGTATTGTAACATTATGGGAAATATTAGAATTATTCACACTGATGTTTCATCAACTTTCCAAAAAGTTTTATTTTATTTTATCTATTTTTTAATATTGACAATTTCCCTTATTATTTAGCTTCGAACAAACCGTTGCAATTAATTTCCTTTGCTTAAAGTGTGTTTCATAACCCAAATGAATTTTAGTGTCAAATACGAATCGGTTTAGAAAAATTGTTGTATAATATTTTGGAAAGCAAGCATGCTCTCAGGCATCGTGTTCCATGTATACGTAAATATAACTTTCTATAAAAACCGTCCTTTTTTAAAGTGACATGTTCAAATTTCTTTTTTTCTTCTGAACTTTAAAGTCATTAATTGTATAAAGGAAATCTTATTAAAAAAGCTAAATACCGCTAGAAATAACGCCTGTTCCTGATGACCTCCCTTTATTTTGTCCTCCCCCAGACATCGCTGAAGAAAATGGACTAAATGCTGAAAATACACGTGGCAAGACAAGATTATATAATTGTGTTGATCACATAATTTTGGTCAAATTTATTAAACCATATCTAAAAAGAAAATTACGATGTCTCGTGTGCAAGACCCAGTTTGTTGGGTTTTTTTAGGGGCGGGGCGGGGGGGCAAATTTTAAATAAATTTGAATTTCAGTTTTGCTTTTAAGAATAATCGTTGTATAGAAATTTCAGTAAAATTTCCATTTTAAACATCGGATAAAAGCATTTATTCATCGTCTATAGAAGCTTTGATTATATTTCAGTCAGTTATTATAAATATTGTACATACACATTCCAGCAGCTCCGCCTCTTGCCCCGCCCCCTAACATGCCTCCACCACCTCCGTTCATGGGCATCCCGCCTCCCTTTGATCCGCTCATAGAGACAGAAAACGGACTTGGCATTCCACTACCGCTAGCACTGACTGATCCTGTACTCATTCCACCACCGACCATTCCTCCGCTACCCATTATACCGCTACCGCCATTTCCCATACCATTTTTGCTCATTCCACCACCGCCCATTCCTCCGTTTCCAATCCCGTTACCGCCGTTTCCCATTCCGTTACCCATACCGTTACCGTTCGTTCCACCGCCTGTCGAATGCTTTTAATTATTATTATTTTAAAGTTTATCTAAACGCAAATCATATTCTAAAGTAAAGAAAGGATAAAAGCATAAAAATTTACTCTGAATTAAATTGAACACTTTCAATCGTTTGATATTATGCCCATACAAGGGTATATATATAGTGCATGAGTGAACAGGTAAACGTAAGAACATATTAACATTTTGTCAGACTGCCTTTTAATTTTATAATTTACTTCGCATGAACAATAAATTACACACTTGGCCTAAATTTCACTAAATATCTATCAGAATCTACCTGAAACGGTCAATTTATAAAAAGAGTGGGGCAGTCTTTTTATAATTTTATGCAGGATATATATTCTCAATATCGACTGTTGGTCGAAATCACCATTATAGCAGTCAATCTTTCGAAATATTTTGTCAATTTATTTCAACTTGACGATGAAAATATTAGCATAATGTCACTAAAATAACTTATTATCTACGAAAAAGTACGACGTTATGCGAAATTGACACTTTTTAAATTTTCTGAAAATGGATACTATCCGCCAAATATACGTTTATTTATATAGACTTTAAGAAGGCAATTCGAGTACAAACCTTCATTACAACCACCACCGCCACCTGCACTCTCAGATCCTATCTTCATAGCCTGATCCACTGTAAAATTAAATCCACTGTTTGTTAAAAGGACTTTAATTTGTGAACAATTGATATTTTCATACATGTATTTTGACTGTACAATACAAATGTACATTTAATGTTAATCTTTCCACAAAAAATTAGGTCGACAATAACAATAACAATAAATTCCTAAAGCTTAGCCGTCTTTTACTGGTATTTTTTACATTATTGTCAATGAATTGATACTGTATGTACACAATTATGTATTTGAAATCATAGATATAGACCTTTTTACAATACAAAATTTCTGTAGAAACGGAAGTAGCATTTCGCACATGCGCATTCTGCGAAGGGCAAAGAAGCAATAACACGTAAAAATTGGTGAATATGTTCATATAACATAAAATATTTACCTGACATATGGCCATCAAAGCACATGGGAGGTTCACACTTTCCACTTCCAATGCCATTATTACCTAAATGAATATACCAAAGTCCATGGACAAAACAGAATTGTTATTTATACATGTACATATAAACATTATACACAATCACAGTTTGACTTATATGATACATGACAATCGGTAATCAAACAAATAAATGTCCACATATATTAGAATAGGTGTATTTATGGCGGCCTAATTTTAATTCAGCAACAAATTAAAATGTTTTGAATGAAGAGGCAAAGTCATTTTAGCTAAGTTCTTCATTAGAAAGAAGTTATTTTGAGACAGTTTACTTTTTCATATGGTAATCAAGAAAAAATGTAGCGCAAATTGTATATAAAATTAAAGTGATTTACTTGAAAGATAATTAGTCTTTGTTCCAGAACATCCGTTGCCACTATTGCTGTTTCCGCTTCCGGAATTCCCATAATTCATCATTTGAGCGTTGTTGTTATTGTTGTTCCAATTGGAAGATCCACTATTCCATTTATTATTATTGTTGTTGTTGTTGTTATTGTTGTTGTTATTGCTGTGGAAATTGTTACTATTATTATCAAAATTACTTTTGTTAGCATTATTTCCATTATTGTTATTGTTTGAGGAAGCGTGTCCTTGACCTTTGGCTAAACATTTGCATGATGGACAACCATTTGCTTGAGTTTCACCTAACAGGTAACCGTCTTTACATTTCAACATACAAGACAATGTTGCAAAGCAATTATTTGATTTAGGTTTTGGTGTTGTCGTTGGGGCTGAAACAAGAGCAACAATCAGTTATTTGCAGTGCAGCTTATCTTCTCAAATTAAACGAATAAAGTGGATTGTTTGAAGTTGATGGCTGTTTCAAGTCCTAGTTTGAATAACATACAGGTCACATTTGTGGGTTCGAATCCTGTCATGGACTTAACGTAAACCTTTCGTTAGGTAGATTAATTTATAATTGTTCTTGAATGGAGGATAAGGGATCCTCTAAAAACGCAATTATTTATGATGCAATATGATATCTGATGAAAACCCATAAAAAAACAGAAAAGGTATTTGCTGTAAAATCTCTCTTTACCCACTCGCTCATTACTGTCAATAAAGAACAGAAAAAATGTCAAGGTAGGAAAATGCATCTAAGCCTTACAAAATGTCATTAATACCTCTACGTATACACGTGCAGGACCGGCAACCATCCCTTCCGACATCACCGAGCTTGTACCCGTCACTGCATGTTTCCATACAAAGTTTTGTTGCACTGCAATCTGGCTTCCGCTCGACTGGTTCCGAACCTGAGCAATCTTTCATCACTGGCATGGTCTGGTACCTCGAAGGCGCACACGGACAACTTCTGCATCCATATTCGTCAACACGTTCACAAGTTCTCGGACAGCTGAGAATACGGCATCTCACGCAATATTTTGGAATACCTGGTGCTAACAAAGGGACGTGAATCACATTGGAACCGTATGCATCCAAATCTGTTATAGCATTGGTTCCCGGGAGGAGAGCTGGAGACATGTGAGAACCAGCGAAAGGCGATTGCAACCCTGCAGGGAACGGGTTTGGTAGAGGACTAAGCGAGTTCAGTCCTGATGTGAGTGCAGTATTTGAGTAGCTTTGCTCTGGTTGTTTTTCTACGATCACATATTTAACTGTTTCTTCTTTAGCAGACGACGATGAATCGCTTGAAAAATCTCTTCGATCAGTGGTAGACCAGACGCCCGAATCAGCATTCAATTTATTTGACCAATCACCGCCTTCGAATCCCTTATCCCATGCTGCATCGGACGATTTGTCCGAACTAGACGCAGATCCAAAACTACTTGCTTCTGGAATAAAAGAGATACCGGACTCTGAAAGAGTAATACTAAAGCAACTACCCGTGATTTAATTGCTTAAATTATATAAAATAACTTACTTGAGTTTGTTCTAGACGATCAAATATGAAAATTAATACGAAAATATGATGACCATTCACGTTTAATATAAGCTAAGCCGTCAGCATAGAACTGCTTATATTCGGCCAGATAACATAACGAAATGCATTCATAGACTTTGATTGTTTTCCTTCATTGAAAAACAGCACCCGTGTCTATGGATGTTATTAACGTGATGGTTGTCCAAGAAAAATCAACGTTACAAATGGCCAATATTATATTTTAGTTACATTGTTTGGAATATAATGCCAAATTGTAGTAAAATTATTTTGGAAAAAAAATTCAAAGGCTGCAAAATGTATTAAATTTATTCTTTGGCACTGCAAATATAATTTGTCATGTTTAAAATATTAAATTAATTTAAACAGTTGCATCATATTTTATAACTTTTATATCTTTCTGATATTAAACACCAATCGCATCATCTCGGCTCTTTCTGTCAAACTTCGGATAAGATAATTTATTATTGATAACAGCCGAGATGTTCCGATTGATTTCACCCAATAAAGAAATATCACGGATATATATTTAGCTTCATGGAATTATAAATAAATAATAATGGAGGTTAGGTCTAAAATATGCAGTTTTTAATAAAATGAGACGTTACCATGGTTACACATGCAGTATCTACAGTGATCGGCTGTATAAACGATACATGTCGGGTGGCAATTTGGATCAGCCGGCGGGCAGTTGTCCAGAATGACTCCTGTGATAAAAAAAAAAAACCGACACACTTACTTATTGTCATTGGGGAAAAGAATTTTAAAAAGATATTCTAAAAAGAAAGAATGTATATTCGAATTTTAACATTCGTCCAAATAATTTATGCAAGACAAAATAGCGCCAAAATATTTTAAACACTTTACAGACAAAAAAAAATGGAGAAAAAAAACCCCTTGAAAATACGTTTTTTGGCAATTTTATGTATAATGATATTTTAGCTGTTGAAATTTTTAGTTTTACAGGTAAACATTGATGTCTAGCACAGCAGTCCACATCCATCCATCAGTCAATCAATCAATATTATCAATCAATCAAGCGATCAAACTAACATGACAGATCAAAGTTAACGTGAAAATAATTTACCTCCAGCTGTGATCGCCATGGTCCAAACCAATATTACTAAAACACAGTAGTCCATTTTTAATTTATGTTTAAAAAGTAACTTCAGATAGAAAGTCCACGGATTGGAAAAATATGAATCAATTATTTTATTTCTAAGACACATGCAATTCTAAAAACACATATTAACTTTTTCATTCCACGTAAACCAATTTACCGCGTGGTATCAAATTTCGTTAAATTATAAATGTAGATCTAATTAAAATTACGTTTTGCAGGATAAGAATTATGCATTGTTGTACATCTTTATTTGAAATAAAGGTAATGCTGATAAAAATTGCAATTCTTGTTGTATTTGTAAACAAATTTAACCAAATTATCTTAGTACTTCCTGATCTTTAAGCGTTGTTTATCGTCGCACCTGTCGCACGTGTCAGATAAGTGACGTCACCAGCGTTCGATCGGTGTTTGCCCTTTTTTCCATTGGATATTTTCTGTCTTTTTTTTTTGGTAAATAAAGTGATAAATATTTCATAAATTTGTGTGAATTTACTACGAGGTCTAGGCCTACAAAGAGCATGTAAACGGTTTACTAAATGCTTCATGTATCGTGCCTTAGGCCTATATTAGTTTTGTAAGACGTCGGAATGAACTGTGTCGAAATAGACAGAGGCACGGTACAAAAATTGTGGTAAGCATCCTCGAGGGAGTTCACAAACTCAGAGCAACCGAAATCATTTATTTATTTATTTATTCAGTAAATTATTTATTAACAATCAAATAAATAAATAGATAAATAAATGAATATAATAAAATCAATAAATAAATAAATTAATTAATTGATTAAGATTGTTTCTGTTTAAGCGCGAAGTATCTGCTTGATAATTAGTGACATTTCACCTTCTATATGTACATTTCGCCTTTCATTTCAATTCCACATTTCGCTTTTTAATTGGAAATTTTACATTTTTTACTCTTCAGCCAGATTTGCGAATGGCACTCATCGGCTTCCATACATGTGAAAAGGGCTAGGTTCACGAAGTACTGAAAATTGCCCTATCATAGAAACTCTTCAAACTTTGTAATATGATTGTCCGGGGAAGGCTTAAAAGTAAAACATACAAATTTAGGTTTTCAAAACTATATTTTTGTTTCCATGGCAACGCAAAACAGAATACTTAAAATTATCTTTTTTCTCCATTTAGGTACATTTCTGATTGAAAGATTCACATTTGTTTCATTTATTTGTAAAACTGGCATTAAAGTTTGTAAAATCAAATATTTTGTTAGTTTCTTACAATGAAATTCAATTATAATCTCCATAGCAACCATTCTAAAAATAATTAGCTAAATGGTATCATATACTGAAAACTTCAGTATATTTAGCATTAAAATGTCAACATACAAAATCTATATCAATATAAATTGTCATGTACTGAAATTATAGAATGTTAAATGTAAATACATAAGTCCTGTTGCCATAGCAACGCTAAACAACATTCTTAAAATCGTTTTTTCTATATTTAATTGCATGTATATTTCTCATTTAATGACTAACATTTGTTCCATATACTTGTCAATCTTGCTTTTACTTTTTAGATAAGAATATTTTGTTAGTGTCTCACATTGAAATTCAATTTTAATCTCCATAGCAAACATTCTTAACATGTAAATTTAGGTAAATTGTATCATATATTGAAAATGTCAGTTTTTGCAATGTACAAAAAAAACTACATGTGTATTACATTAATTATTGTGTTTTGAACTGAAATTCAATTATAATCTCCATAGCAACCATTCTTAACATGCTTAACTAAATTGTATCATATACTGAAAATTTCTTTTTTTGCAGTGTACAAAAAAAGCTACATGTATATTAAAATAAATAATTATGTTTTGAATTGAAATTCAATCATAATCTCTGTAGCAACCAATATTATCAATCTTAGCTTAAGAACAGTTAAGATTGTGTACAGAAACAAACAAAAATAATTATGTTTTCAATTGAAATTCAATTATAATATATAAAGCAACAATTATAAATATTCTTCGCTAAATGGTATCATATATTGAAAACTGTTACAACAGTTTATGTAGTGTACAGAAACATTACATGTATATTAGCATCAATAATTATGTTTTGAATTGAAATTCAATTATAATCTCTCTAGCAACCACTATTAACAATCTTAGCTTAACAACAGTTTATGTAGTGTGCAGAAACACTACATGTACATGTATATGAACATAAATAATTATGTTTTCAATTGAAATTCAATTATAATCTCTCTAGCAACCACTATTAACAATCTTAGCTTAACAACAGTTTATGTAGTGTACAGAAACACTACATGTACATGTATATTAACATAAATAATTATGTTTTCAATTGAAATTCAATTATAATCTCTCTAGCAACCACTATTAACAATCTTAGCTTAACAACAGTTTATGTAGTGTACAGAAACTACATGTATATTAACATAAATAATTATAATTTGAATTGAAATTCAATTATAATCTCTCTAGCAACCACTATTAACAATCTTAGCTTAACAACAGTTTATGTAGTGTACAGAAACTACATGTATATTAACATAAATAATTATGTTTTGAATTGAAATTCAATCATAATCTCTCTAGCAACCACTATTAACAATCTTAGCTTAACAACAGTTTATGTAGTGTACAAAAAAACCACATGTATATTAACAACAATAATTATGTTTTGAATTGAAATTCAATCATAATCTCCATAGCAACCATTCTTAAAGTTTTAGATAATTAGTTTCATATAAATATATATGTTTTGAATATACAACATGTAAAAAAATAAATACATAATTCCCTTTATAGTTACTTGTACAATAAATATAGTTGCATGTTATGTATGATCATCACATATATCTTTTTATAACTTCATTTGTTCATCATTCTTTTAATATGTTTGAAACTTACAGGTATTTCTGGGTAACATACAATGTACTATATGGGCATTATCACTTAAACTAGAACTCCGCGAGTCGGATGTGTCGCCTTGTGAACAATATAGTTTAGGAGAAATGGCCACGACAAAAATAAAGTATGAAAATTAACAAAGGGCAATAACTCAAAAAATAAGAAGTGCAGAGTACCGGTCCTTGTGCACTGCACTTCGAGTTATTATAAGAAGCATGCATACCAAGTTTGAAGTCAATCAAACTTATAATGACTGACTTATGCTCCGGACAAGCTTTAGGGGACGCCGACACCGACAACGACACCGACGACAACGACGCCGCCGACAAAAGTAACCCCTATATGTTGCCTTTTCAAGGCGACACAAAAAGGGGAAGTCTGCACATCTATGATTACATGAATCAGTCTTAAAAATGAAAATATGCAGATCACAAAAATGATTCATAAAATGGCAACAAAAACATACATGTTCATTTATGAGTAATTAAGTAACAGTGCCTTTTATCTTCATTACCTTTCACTTGCAGACTTAATTAAATGAAACAATCATTGGATACATCACTTCTACAAATGTTATGTATATAAATAATAAGTCTGACAATATTACTGATATGATTCCCTTTACTTATTATTCCTCTACAATACTGTCTTCAGAGTCGGATGAATCTATTGGCTGCGGCATCTCGGCAGCATCATCAAGGTATTGAGTCCAGTCTTGGACTCCGTACCTGTCAGACTGCTGCCTAGATGTGCCTAGATACCAAATCACCACAGCCACATGTGAACATGTTCCAACTGTCCGTGCACCAGCCTTGCACTGGCAGTACCAAGCCTTGACATGGTCTGAATCATACTGAATCCAAACAAAATAAGACTTGGAAGATACATGTCGACTTTGAAGTCTTACTCTCAACAAGTCTTTTGATTCTTTATACACCAAAATATCACAATCTCCATCAAGGTACTCTTGTGCATATGATTGGCAAAGTTTCATTTGGTAGGTACCAAGAGTCAAAAGACTAAGAGTAAAATCATCTATAGAGGGGAAATTGTCAATTTCTTGCACTGCTTGCCATTTTGAAATATTTCGCTTATATAGTTCATTTTCTTGAACATACGATTGTAAATGGTTAACATTCTGGATTTTATCTCTCATTCTCTCTGCTACAAGTGTGTCATCCATCAAATCTTTGGTTGCATTTAGAGGTGAAAGGTATTTGTTACATGTGGCACAAATTATGCGGACATAATCACCAATGAACGGAACTTGATTGGTAGGCAATACATGGTCAAGATACTTCCATCTCTTTATTCGAGCATTTGATGCTTCAACTACCCATCTGACCTGAAAAAACAAAATAAATATATCAATTATTAGAAACACATATGTGATAAAAAATTGAAAATCAATTGAATTGGTGTATTAATTTTAAAGAAAGTTGGATATCATAAAAAGAGCCACCGCAGAGTGGGGGCAACGCTCGACTTTTTTACTTTTTCTTATGGCAAACAAAGAGTTAAAACAAATCTAAAAAAAGAAAAAAAAAGGGTCTTCCATTTTTTTTTTTTAATGTCTGTCTAGTCACACTTGTTATTTTGTTCAAGTATAAATAGTTTCGATAAATCATCTAAGATAAAATAATTAAAGAAAATATAAGCAAAATTCAATGATCAGACTTTGACAGTTAAAGGGACTCCACTGAGGTTTAAAAGCCTAAAAACATAACATTAGAATTTCTTACATAAATAAACTGGGGCGCTTTAAACTGAAATATATGCAAAGATAGTTAAGAAATATACTTTAAAATAAATCGAAAATCGTAGTTTTATCCTTTTTCTAGTCTAATTTGAGTGAAAAGCGTTTAAACGCTTTTCATTTTGGGTCATTTATTTTACAATTTGAATCATTATTATGGAAAAACTAAGTGTGCGAATCATCTGAAAGTTTGCACAAAGATTCGTGGTCTACACCTACATAAAATGGTACATTTATCTGGAAAAAATATTTTCAGTCCCATCATGTCAAAAAACCTCAGTGGAGTCCCTTTAAGTTCATTTAAGAAAATAATGTGGTAAATGATAAATCATATATACCTTTGTTACGAACCGACTGTGGTTAGCGTCCATGGTTGTTAATTGTTTGGCACCCTTTGGCATGAACTTTGGCATTTGTGCTTTTATTCCCATCTCCTCAAGCACTTGCAGGGAGTCACGAAATCCACGGTCAACAACAAATATATCATTTGGCTGAGCCCAATTTTTGATTTCCTCTATGTTATTTCTTACTGCATGGTTTAAAATTCCTGAATCACTATTTTTAGAATCTGCAAGATATGGTCCTAATACAGAAATAAAGTATCCAGTAGTGCTAACTATTACCAAAGGTTTAACAAGTGGCCGCCCTTTATGTACACTATAAGAACGTCTTTGGAATTTGAAGTTTGTACTTTTTCTAATATATATGTATGTTCCGTCTAATACAATTATAGCTTGGCTGGCATTTTTTGCAAGTAGTGACTGTGATAGGGAACGAGTATGGCTTTTTATAATTTCTTCCCTTGATATGTGCTGGAAGCCAAGATATTTAGGAACAAGTTCAGAAACAAGCACTTTTCTGATTGTATGTACTGCTCTTTTTATGCTTGATTTAGATACATTAAAAAGTGTTGAAAGCATTTTGTTTGACAATCCAGACTTAAGTTTAAACAGAAATATACCCAGTGTAGTAATGTTGCTTCTAACTGGCGTATTTCTAACATGTTCTTCAGTAATAGAGCATAAATCTAAGAACTGTTCTTTGTTCAAACCTGTAAGATTGCACAAATCTTCATTTGAAAATGTATCAATATTGTCAATTGACATTCTATTAGACGATGAATTAAGTATACACTGTCTGACATTATTTATAACATTCACAATTGTAGTCCGGTTTAATAAAACAGACTCTAATGTTTTTACGTTATCAAAAACATTTGCTTGGAAACCATTACGATTATTACTCAGGTGAGCAGGGCAACACCTACTGTCAGCTGTTATGAGGATATTATGCTTCACAAGTGTTTCTGTTCTAAGTTTTGATGGAACAACAATTAATTTAGATCCTACTTTCTTACAAATAAAACAGTATGAATGACTTTTTGAAATTGTTTTTAAGCTCAAAGAAACCGATGGTGGACTTGGCAATTGTTGAATATCATTCTTTTCTGCTGTGACAGGAACAGGACATGCAGATATTATGGGTCTTTGGTTATGCTGAGAAGGATATGCCGGTCGGCTACATTTTCCACATATGTAGTCAGATTTTGAAGTTTCAAGCATGAACGTTTTTCTGAGATACCGGATAAGATATGGATTCACAGGCCTCCTTTGATGTATCTTTAGTCTTTTCCCACACAAAACGCATGGAGTTGGAGCCATCCTAGAATAGAATATAAACATTATAGAATTAAATTAAATAAATTCAGATTCAATTGATACATCTAGTTTTATGAAAGAGATCTATGTTTAAAATTTCTCCATTATCAATTAAAAAGATAAGTTAAAAATAATTGATTGCAACTGTTACAAGTAGTATTTCTTTGGTTACCAGTTTATCAACACTATTTCTCTTGTAGAAATTATGAAAATATTATTTGAATAGGAGCTTTGAAATATTAAATCTAGTATGACAACAATTAAAAAAAAAAAGGAAGAAAAAAAAATTGTACCTCCATCTAGGTTTCGAACTCTGAACCTTTCACATGCTACGCCATCGTTACAACCACTGCGCCATGAAGACTTTCGATCAGAAGATAATTATAACTATATAATTTTTTTATCGTGTTTTGTTGAAATTAATTCACCGATAATTTATTTTACAGCCGATAATGTATTTCATAGATTGTTACTGATCACAAATATCTATTCCGACTGTATAACATTATTTCGTGGTTTTATCCCAAGTCATATTTAACGGACGAGAATTAGCATGATTAGGCTTATCGTCTGCAAGTGCAAGCAGATCAACACTTTTAATGAAGAAAATCAAATTAAAATGGCACAGCGAACGAAAAAGAAACATGAATTTTATAAAGAATATGTTCAACATACCTTTACATGTCTACGTATGTCAAGTAATTCAACAAATTGCTGCGTAACAATGAAAATGTGCACGTTGTTTGTAACGATGAACTGTCAGTAAGAGTAGCGCTCCTTGCGTCGTGTAGACTACACTTCTAACGCATAACAAGTTTACACGGAATTCAATTGTCAAACTTCAAGATTCATGCGAGTGAGTAATGAAAATATCATTAATGCATGTTAGTTCTAGCCACTGTCATTTATTTTATTTTATTCAAACTAAAATTTACAAATACAATAGCAATCAATTAATGAAAGGAAAGCCTGCAAACAAAAGCTTGTAATTCGACCCCGAGTCACTCGTAACTTTGACCATCTGCTAAGTATATTACATAAAAATTAAGAATGAAGGCACTATTTCGACACCTTGAAATTTTGTGTGCCAATTAGTTGATATTAAAGTAAAGTATGTGTGAAATATCTAAGTGTCGGGAAAATGCCTTCATATTTTTTTCCGTTGAAAGATATGGCGAAAATGACGAAAACACGTGAAATATTCGACATAGGTGTTTTTATTTCGTATTTTACTCCTTCCAGAAATGAATTTAAATAAAATTTTAGACCATGTTTAGAATGAATAAGTATCATGCCTGCGAGAAATGTTATTAGTTTTGTTTTATTGCAATCTTTATATTTTACTAATTTGCTGGGCCAATTCACATGTTTCGTGAACCTAGCTTGCTACCTTATCGGTATCATTTTACATAATACATAGTTTGCACATATGTACAAAAGACTGGTAGTGACATTTCATCTTCTTGAATAATCTGGTACATCTTCACGAATTCTCATTTTCAACGTCATGAATTCACGATTTGAACATTTCACGATTTCAATTACTTCATGAATTTTATGAATTCATGAATTCAACTTACCGAATTCACGATTTCAACTTATGAATTCACGATTCAAACTTCCACGAATTCACGGTCTTACGCACATATAACATGTTTTATATCAATCGTACTTGAGAGATCTTTATTTTGGATATGCCTCTCATCGTTGGTGGAATTATTTGTCTGAGTTTACCGATAAGTTATAGGGGAGGGAAAGTCGGTGAGTTGGAACGACCGACTCGATGTTAAAACCATACAAACATAATACATGTACTGAGTTAGAAAAAACAAACAGATGAATTAATAACTTTTGTTTATTTAAATAAACTTTCACAAATTTATAAAGTCTAAAAGTTAAAGTATATTTATGTAGCGACATCGGATATGTTATGGTATAATAATTAATGATTTTCAAGCTAAGAAATTTGAACCAAAAAAAGAGTAAAAAACTAAAAACAGTCTTAAGAAACTCCTTTGACCCAATTAGTAATGCATGTTATGGGCGGAAAACACTGTGACATATAATTAATAATTCATTATTAATAACCGTTTAGGTTAGATTACATTCTTCACTTTACAAAAATTCTAATTTCAAAACTTTAAAACCCCTACAGAAATATCATTTTTTTACCTCGATATAGGAAAATTAGTAATTTGACTGCCATACAGGATACTAAATCACTATATTTGTACTGATTGCCAACAGGCTACAAAAAGCAGAAGGCGATTCAGACTGTTAGCCAATGCGAAGCTCTTGGAAACTTTAAACAGTACCAGGGTCTTTCAAATAATAATTTCTATTTGAAAGACCCTGACAGGACATAAAAATATTATCTTTTTAAAAATTGAAAATATCATATTTTAGGCATAATAGGCCTTTAAAGAAGCCGCTGTAATTTTTATTATATTTTTTTTTGTCAAGGGAATTCACTGTATTTTGAATTATCTTCCAAACTTTTATGTAGCTAAAGGAGGTGCTTATGTATGAGGTCTACCTGTAGCGATGACAAGTATATAAAACTTAATGTGAAAGAAGAAAACAAAAATAAATGATTACTTTTTTTTTAAAAAAATCATTAAGACAGTTATATATGTTCCGGATTGAAAGGACCTATGGAAAACATTGTATAGAAAGTAAATATAACATTTAAATGTATCCTAAGAAATGTATCATAAAATATGAAAACAATAAAACAATTACAATATTACATATAACAACATTTATATATGTATTGCACGATTAATAAGTTTACAAAGGATGAACAGTCAATATTTTTTTAAAGAAACGTAATGCCAATTTTCCTTGACTGATATCATCAGGGCTATATTAGCTATGATGTTTATTTTTTGACAGGTTATATAGCCCAAAAAATCGTTTACAAGGTTATATGCCGAAGTCACATAACTGGTCAAGAGGCCTGTCAAATTCCGGCAAATTTCGTTGTTGTTGTTGTTGTTTTGTTGTTGTTGTTTGTCGTTTTTTGTGCATGTGAGTAAATTAACTTTTTGAAAAAAGTGACATACATTTTTTTATAGCAAAACAAGAGCAAAAAGTATTTTTAAAATAGGTAACAAAGTGTGCCCGCACACAGTGATAAAAATTTCATGCGTAAAGTATTGACAATATATAACACTTAGAAATAATTGAAAAAATAATATTTCAGTTGCCGCTAAAACGGCCAACTAACTATTGAATGAAGATGCTTTATAAAATATCATATTGGCCTGAGATAATTATTTAACTGTAACTATCTTATAAAAATATAACAAATGTAACAAAATTATATATTATGAACATGTGCAATTATATATATAATTGTAGAATTATTATATCCTAAATTCACTGGGAAGATTCATATCTGGTATATTAAGTTTGTTCAACTCTTGTCTGTCTTTGAAGTTTGTCAGATTAAATATTGGCATTAGTTGTTTACACTTATCTCTAACACCTTGGTACCTGAGAAACGACATGTGACTTCTCCACCAATGGGCGTTATCTAAAACCCGGGTACGTGACATTGCGGGCGTGTTACTTTTCGCTTTATTCGTCTTCACTTTGTTTAATTGTTTCACTTCGTGGCTATCCGGCTCCATTCCTATATATTCATACAATTTATTCATCTTTTGTGTAACATTTGATTTAATTTCTTCGTAAAAAATCATCTTTACTCGACCCGGATATTTTTTAGCCAGTCTTACCCCACCCTCATAGTCTAGCATCATTTTCTTACACAACACCGCCGCATTCGAATTGTAGTCTCGGACCGGATATCCTTTAGATTCTGTACGACTATTGATAATAGCAAAGGGGTTCCGAAACAAGTGTAGAATTTTCAAATTTTTCCGTTTCTCTAGGAGTTTATCATACGTGCCTGTTGTCAGACGGAGCACTTTTGTCACTCTGTGAGTTGCATTTTTACACTTCTGCTCCTGCTTTTTGAGACAAGACATTTTTGTTTGTCGTCTGGTTTTCGTACAAGTTCGATATTCATTCCAGTCTGGCCCTGAAGTTCGAAAAATATTTATATTGAGCTTTAGTAACAATTAATCCACCACGAATATCAAATGTTTAATATACTAATTTTAAAATGTCATTTCAACGTATTATAAGTAAGTTTATATATGTAGAAAAATTTACTTATTATACTTATCTCAAGAAACTAATTAATGGACATATAGAATATTTTATCAAACAAAGAGATAATATCTTATTTTCTAATCTGTTCACGATGAAAACTTTTATTATCAATAATTGGTTATCACGATGCACTTTCAATTCCATGAACATATAATACAACAGAAACATTACATTAATTCTTCTATTTATCACTTTCATGTTTCGTTAAGATAAAATACTTGGCGACAAAGGCATATAAAAGTGCCAGTGTGTTGCTATACATTATCATTCTGTTATCAACATTAAAACACTGGAATGCTATCTTATTCTTCTTCACTCTTCTCAAGCTGATAATACAACAACCTTTAAATATGGTGCTATAAAGTCGATTGCGAAAACATTGGTGACAAATCCCATATTGTGTAATCTCTACTAGAAAAACTAAAATATCCCATTTACACAAGCATTGAGTCTAAAACACGTGCCAAGGTGGCACTGATCAAATCTTGTAAAGTTGGCCCTGGAAATATTAGCCAGTTAAATAATGAAGTGATTATACCTGCAAGTTCCGGGAGATCTTGAACATTTGGAACAAACATGTTCTCCAGCCGTGAAAAGTCACATTTGTACATATCCTCCAAAACGTCCAGCATCATTCCAACTATTGTAGAACCTCTGAAAGAAAAGTAAAAATTGCAGTGTCAATTTCAAAGTGAACACTCATCTTTGATGACACGACGGGGTAGACGCACGCTAACCAACCATGTATCAGATCTTTTTAAAGGAAGTCCACTGAAGTCCATAGGTATAAGGTCTTTTAAAAATATAAAATTTGAATTTCTTACATAGATCACCTTGGGGAGCTTAAATGAGAAAGATACGTAAAAAGATAATCAAGAAATATTCTTAGAAATCAATTGAAAATCGTATTTTTGCGTTATCCATAGCCCGATTTGAGTCAAAAGCGTTGCAACGTTTTTCTATTTTGGGACATAATTCACAATTAGAATAATTATTCTGGAAAAAAAGGAACCAGCGAATTATCTGATATTTTGCACATGAGTTAGTGATCTAGAGCTACAACAAATAGAATATCAATCTGGGAAAATTAATTCCAGTCCCGTCATGTGTCAAAAAACATATTTTACTTTTTTAAATAAAAAAAGAAAAAGAAAAATAAGTAATAATAAATAAATTAATTAATTAATAAATAGATAAAAATATTTCAATAAAATCACAACGAACACAGTTAAAACAGCGATAAATGTGTTCGATATTTCCATTAATTTGTATAGCTAGATACAAGAGAATGTCGTCTATTTTGCAGGGTTTTTTGTACTAGTTGTCTCCCTTTACATTTTATCTCTTTCGAACATGAATGAAAATCGTCAAAGCTGTAGGCATATTCAGACTTTCAAATTGAAAATAACGAAAGTTTTTAGTTCAACGGACATTTCAGAAAGGAAACTCATCTCTATTCTGAAATAACAGTTCTTTAAAAATAATTTCCTTTGAGTGAATAATAAATAGAGAATAACGTTTGCTATTTTTATTTTTTTCCCCAAGGTTGAGGAAGGCTTAAAATTTAAGCAAAAATATTACCTGAACCGTAAATTCAGAGAGTGGTAAACTAAGTGTTGATATATTTTCTTTCTGATTCATTCGGGACCATTAAGTATAATACTTAAGTAAGCATAATAGGGCGCTTGTCTTTTGAGAACTCTACAGGGCGCTTGCATTTCGATAACTCTATAGGACTCTTGCCTTTCGAGAATTCTAAGAGGGCGCATGAATTTCGAGAACTCTAAGAGGGCCCATGCCTTTCGAGAATTCTTAGAGGGCGCATGAATTTCGAGAACTCCAATGGGCGCTTGCCTTAATTGCGAGAAGTCTCAGAAGGTGCTTGCCTTTCGAGTACTCAAGTGGGCGCATGCCTTTCAAGAATTCTTAAGATGGCGCTTGCCTGTCATGAGCTCCATACCAAAAATATCTCTATTGAGCTGTAGACTTTTATAATTCTTAGTCAAGGATTATGCAATGACTATTTGAACTTTAATTAATCTATTTTATTCATTTATTCGGTTTAACTATCTGAAATGGAAATTCTGTTTGCTTTTGAAAATCAAAGGGAATTTCACAGTTTATATTGATGTTGGTGAAACAAATGCAAAGAAAAAGTTAGAATAAAAGAAATTAACACAATCAACTGCAGAAACGAAATATCTGAACTTACTTTGTGACATTTTTGACGAGAGGAGTTGTTGCTCTTCCTGTGTTTTTCATTTTGTTCACATTTGCCATGATGCCTTTACTGGAAAATGAAATCAACACAAGTCACATAAATTATCGTAAAACGTCTGAATATAGTATATGTCAGATTGTAACATAAAAGGTTAATAAAAGATATAAACAAAACTTAAGAAAGCATGTTTAAATATAGACATGAGCTAAACAAAACAGGACAGAAAAACCTCCCCATTTATGTCATGTATCGTATACAAAATAATCAACCAATTTCAAGGACAGAGTGGTTTTAGAGTAAAGTGCAACAACTCTTTTGTCAAGGAAATTCGGGTATTAATGAAAGAGAACTGTAAACTGTAACGTTTTATGATTTATTTTTTTATTTCTATTGTTATTATAATCATTGTTGTTGTTAATTTACCTGCAATTAACAGACCCCTGTGTAGAGCTGCAGACGAGATTATCAGCATGGTAGTAGTCCCAGACACTGTATTTCCACAGGGGTTCGTAAATATAAAACGTGCCCTTCCTGCAATATAGAACTTTTCGTCATTTTATCAATTAACACAGTCGCAACTTTTCGGCGATTTCCGTCAGACCATTCGTATGCAAATGTCAACTAACGCTGTCAGTAGGAGATTTCTTCTTTCCATCTAGTTCACATTAGGTTAAAAATTAATTTCTTAAAAGGCACATGACTGTGGCTGAGCTCATCAAGTAAAGTGTCAGCGGTTTAATATGTTTAGAAAAAGAAGTATCTAGTAGCGGAAAGAAAATAATGCACGATGAGACTTGGCAGTAGCGATAAGATAGTCGTCAGACCAAACAAATAATGGTAGCGAAATTTCAGAGTCTGATGCTGTTAATTGCAAATGCCGAAAGTAGGCCGCTTTTTTGAAGCGGTTACTTCCCTTTATATGTACACTAACGCCGAAAAAAATCAGGGGAGATCACTGCGTAAAGATGGTCAATGACAGGCGCATTAATTTTCAAGCAAAATAATTCCCGAATAGTCGAAGATTTCTGATATTGTTTTATCCTTTATAGATATACATGCTTATAATAAGCTTCATGATTATTAACATCTGTGTTAAACAACAGTTAGCGTCGAAATAATAAGGGTACAAACCCTAATTTAGAATAATATGGTTTTCTTCAGGCATTTTACATATAACTTCACCGTGGCTGAGGGGTCTGGAGTTCAAATCCAGGAGGGCAACTCTTTTTTTTTCAAATTGTTTAAATCAAATAAACATTGAATTGAATATCAGTGTTGCAATTAGTCTTAAAGCCAATTAACTACAATTAAAACGATGGAAAGCACTGGTGGCACTATACAAAAACAAATTGGTTGATAATCTCACAACCTTCACCTTTCTGAGACCCAAACAAATTCAGCGCCTTCTGTGCTTTGATTTTTAAACTTACCTAAATCCAAATAGTTGACCAGTAAACCGAGAGCCACTGTTCATGTAAGTATTAATCAACAAGTCATACTTTTGACGTGGGGCTTTGTGTTCTGTCGCCGGCGACATTGACAACCTTGACTGGACTGAAACATAAAATTATTACAATGAAAAAATGTGTCAGGGCTGTTGTTTTTGTACGGTGCTTTCCGTAATTACACGTTTTATGCCGGCTCGCCACGTCGAGCCGGTATTACGTTAGGATTTTACTGAGAAACAACCTAAAACTCCGAATACATCCAATAATTTAATCGAAGCTTGGCTTCCAGCTTTCTATAAAAATTTATCTATCAGGGCTAGGATCCAAAATTATTTAGCCAATCAAATTTAATCTTACATAGCGTCAAAAAACCTTCAATTTTCACGCCATATTTAAAAAGCAGCAAGTATTGTTTTGAGCGCAAAGATAGTATGATGATTAAAAATGTTTGTTTTCATGAATTCTTTTCAATAAATCATATTAACACTAACTTTTGATTTAGCGATTTCACCTGTTCCTCTGTAGTAAGTTTTCGTTTGGTTAATTAACATAAGTGTACACCTGGTTCTGTGCATTTTTTCTTTTTCCTTTTTTCCGGTCATTTTTTTCTTTTTCCTTTTTTCCGGTCATCGTTTCCGGTATTTAGTGTATATATTTACTGGCCGGGATCCGGGACGCCCGGACTGGCCGGGATCCGGGATCGTATAAGATATAGAGGAAAAACTATGGGCGCGTTTGTTGGCAACAAACTGAGTTGGGTTTTGAAACCGGGTTTTGAAACCTTCCATTTGTTTCGTAAAACTGGTTTTGAACTAGAAAAGGTTTGAACCATTTGTTTTCCTAAATCGCTAACTGGTTTGCAAAACCGACCAAACTGCCCCCATAGGCGGTTTGTACGGTTTGATGTATCCGATATTACGTGCACTTGTGGAAAAAATGGCGGACCTCGTGGATGAAAATGGAAACAGGTAAAGAAACATAAGAATTTGTCAATTATGGCGAAAGGCCAATGTTATTTAAATTGTATGTTTGTGTATGTGGGCTCAGTTGTACAAAATAACATTTTTTAAAGGCACTCTGCGATCGGCAAAGAACATTTGTACCAATTCTATGTTGAAATTTGTTCAAGATAATTCGTACCCGGTTGCAAGTCAAAATGCCCCAAGTCAAAACGCCCCCACGTCAAAATGACCCCATTTTGGCACCCACAAAAAGTGAGAATGTCCAAATTTGCGACCCAAATCGCTCCCATTCCAATCAAAACAATAACTTCCATCCGTTTTAAATCATTAATTTTAAAAATTTGACTATAAAGAGGTATTTAAACATGATTTCATTTTCCAAAATGGGGCGCGTTTTTGACTGTAAACATTCGTACCCCAGACAGTCGTGTACTCATCAGCGCTCATGTAGGCTACAAATGTATGTAATACAGGGCAGATCCTTTTTTAAATGTTTCAGGGTTATGGCTATTGGGCCTCTACACAGTGTCATCCCGGAACGTTTCCATCAACACCTCTCAAGAAAAAACTCTGAAGAGTTATTTGGCATGTGATGAAAAGTATAGAGAACAGCTGGAAAGCAGCATGTACCGCAGCAGACATTCCAGTCATTGTCCGGCAATATACAAACGCAGTGTTCCAGAGAGTGGCTGAACAACCTTAATGGTCTTGGTAAGGATGCAGTCGAGGAGATACATCCTTGGGTGCTGTGCACCTTGATTGATTGGACGAGTTTGACAAAAGTCATATGCACTACAACAAATCCATACTACAACAAATCATACAGGTATCTAACTTCTTGGAGTTTAACATTGACCTTCCAAACATTGATCGAATGACCATTTTAAAGTTTGTATTGAAACATTGAAACGATCTAGCAGTACAGAAGTGTCTTAAAAAGTTGATATTTTTCAATAAATAAATTTTGGCATGAAAGACATGGAAACGGGTGTCATATTTAAGAAAAGGTTGTAGCTAACAGCGGTACTGTTTTTTCTATGATAGAATGTATGACATACCCTGCAATCTTGTATAATTAAGTTTCATAAATTTACGTGAAATCTTCCATGTGTTGAGTATTTTCATTTCTTAACGGTCCTTACAGAAATGTGTCCCACTACCAGCTCTATATGCATGTATATAACATTTTGGGTACCATGTAATACAATGACTGAAAGTGACATAAACAAATCTTTCCATAAACCATTACAGATGACAAAGATACAGAGTCGGGAACAGGCACACCATGCGAAAATGCCAGAGATTAGATCAACTGGGTTAACATCTTCCTCTTCAGATGGTGTAGGTAAGTAACATCTCCAAAGCCATATTTTTATTAGCACTGCTGGTCACATACTAGAAAAGCTTAGGAGAGCTTTAATGTCATGGTCTGATAATACATCATAGCGTTTAATTGTCGCGTTCATTATAAACATTTGCTACAAAACGACATCTCTTCAGACAGTTAATGGAAGAAGTGGCCATTCGCTCCTAAGGCAATTAGCTTTTTTGCATTATTACTGTCTTGATATAATTCTGTTTATAGAATTATCGGAAACTTTTTTGCATCATTACTATCAATATCAAAATTCAATATTAAAGCTTTCAGCTTGTCTTGTATTTGTTGTCCTGCAGCTGTATTGCCAGCAAAAACAGGCATTTATAATCATTTCTCAGTCAAAAAATACTTTCAACCAAAAAGCAAGGAGTTTTTCAAGGAGTTATTAGTTTTATTTAAAAAAAAAGTAGATTGGGATATAATATCCAGTATACCCACGTTGCATTCTGGATTTAATTGACTATTTTCAGTAAACCAAAAACACAACCAAAATACCATCAAGCTCAGATGGTAAAAAGCTTACTACGGTGGGCGGCATTAAGCACCCATTCCTTTCATTTGACTGGCTTTGAAGACAAAGTTATTTTATGGTTGTCATAGTGCAAAATTTGCAAGTGGTAAATCGCATATTATTGTGGTCTCTAACCGATAATCGTTTTAAAAAACTTGAAACTTCAAATGCTATTCAGTCACACATAAATGCTCAAACATTATTATTTTAAATGGTGAAAAACTGGATTTTATTTATAGCTACCAACAAGCCAGAATGGCCAAATGAAGGGACTACAGATGCTGCTGAGCCAGATGTTTGTTGCGGGAAAACATTGAAGGGTCTGAGAAACAAGTTTGGACAAAACCCGCAGTTCTGAAGCTGATTGCCCTGTGCATCAAGACCACGAGGCTGACTTCAGAAAACCTTCACTGAAAGAAAAAACTATCTGGTCCCATTATTGCAATCAAGAATCAACAAAAGGAAACCAAGTTAAATGGTATCATATTTCAGCCTACTCTGCGTCGAGCAGAAATGGGAAAAATATATTACTTAAGTGTAATAGGGACACAGTTGACCATAAACATGAAATCAGGCAATGAGGCGAAAAAAGAAATTGCCTTACTTCCATGAACTGCAGGACTTTTACGGATACCGACCCAATGTTAAACTCCATTGTATGTAAGCAGCTCCATCAAGTCACCTCAGGGACTCAAAAGCTCTTCCTTGTAGAGACAGAAAGATGGAGAAAAGATGTAGAAAAAAAAAACATCAAAGAAGCCAAAGGTGAAGCATAACCGCAAGGATGCCAGTTGTTGAAAATTCTACAAGAGATGCGTGATGACATGTGAAGCAGGAACAAAAAACAAGTTAATGGAAGTTTTGTAAAAACCAAACAGCACGAAGACCCGTATGGCAAATGAGAAAAGCCCAAACTAGAACTTTTTGATTAAAAGATTGGTTATATGCTATTCAAAAATTCCAAGTAAGAGTGAAACATTTCAAGGGTTTTTTTTGACAGAAGTGGAGAGAGACATGGAAGATTTGTAGGAGCAATCCTTTTTGGGTCAGCTTTTCTAGTGAATATTTTCTGTTTCTTCATGCTCCTCTGTTCAGTGATACAGAGCTGTCAATGGCCCTCATTGTTATGGCATTTTCTTTGCAATGTTTTTGTTGAAGTTTTGAACTTTTACTTTTAGATTTTTCATCCATGTACAAGGCAGTACAACACTTAGAAAATGAACAGTCACATATCTGTAATTATAGATATTGTATTTTGCATTTTAATTATTTTTCACAAACCACGTGAATATTATTTCTTTGTAATTGGTAAATAAACAATGTTTTAAACTCACTCTTGGACATTTTTGTATGCAAATTTTGAAGTTCACATATCTGTAATATAGATATTGTATTTGCAATTTTTTTTTTAATTTAATTTTTTTTTCACCCCCCCACCAGTGAATATTATTTTCTTTGTAAAATTGTTTAAATAAACAAATTGTTTAAACTCACTCTTGGTACATTTTGTTTTTATGCAAATTGGAAAGTCGCAATATCTGTAATTATAGATATTGTAAATTTGCATTTTTTAATTATTTTCAACACCAGTGAATATTATTTCTTTGTTAATGTTAAATAACAAATGTTTAAAACTCACTCTTTGGGTACTTTTTTGCATTGTATGCAAATTGAAGTTCACATATCTGGTAATATAGATTTTTGTAAATTTGCATTTTAATTATTTTCGCACCAGTTGGGAATTTATTTTCTTTGTAATATTAAATAAACCAAAATGGAGTTTAAAACCCCTCATTTGAGTGTACCAGTTTTGTATGCACAGGCTGGGTTTGCGTAAATTCTGTGGAAGAGAGTGGCGACCATACTGGTGATTAAGAGAAGCGCCATTGGTCAGTCATGTTTAATTTTTTACCTTGAATGGAAGCGAGTTCTATGTGTTGGTCTTTCATTATTGATTGAATTTTATTTTAAAAAGAACCAAAATAGGGTTTTTAAACCATTTTATATTTTTTTTTAAGTTTTTTTCCCTTGGGTTTTGGTTTGTGTTTTTTGTTTTGGGGTGGGATAATTCGTTTTAAAAAACTCTTGGGAAAATTTATTTGTTTGGGGAATAAAGGGGGCGATTAAAACTCCCGGTTTTGTTTTTTGGGGAAATTTTTTAAAACCAAAGGAAAATTTGGGCAATTGTTTAAAGGGTTTTTTTTGCCCCCCAAAGGGGTGGCCCTTCTTAAAAATTGGAAAAAGGGTCCGTTTTGGG